GAGCCACATCCCAAATCTGCCCTTAGGCTAGCCAGTTATATACCTCAAGAGTAGTATGTCCTTGAAGCCTAGTTATTACTTACACAAAAGCACAGAAAAAAACATGAAGTTACAAACTTGAGAAGTATGAGTATGTTAATAATTAGGCAAGTGATTGTTTAGCATGTTCTTCACTCATTGTTACTTATGGTACAAACTGAAGGTGGGTAAAAGCTTCAAGCTCTTTCATTTTAATGGGGAGGTTGATTCTGCTCAGAATACATGTGGATTTGGGCTGGGTGATTTCTTTTCAACTGGCCTGCTACTGAGAAACTCCATTAATTCACAAATACATTTTATCCATCCTTACACACTGGTAATAAAGTGTTGTCTAATAAATTTTAATACAGTTCTGCCATCAGCGTAAAAGAGAAGAAATTAACCATAAATACCAGGAAACCTTACCTCCATGTATTGATTTCAGTTCAGCAGTACTTCATAACACAAAGGCTCACACACCCACAAACCCAGCAGATGCCACAGTAATCAATTCTGGGCAGAAAGGGCTGAAATAGGAGGGTGCCCTCAAGAACCAGTAGGTGGTTTTGTTCATTTACTCTTTTGTCCCTTCAAAAAATTAAGTCTCTCTCACCCTGGAAGATTTATTGAGCACTTGAAGGAAGAATGGATGTTTTATGCATGATAAGATGGTTTTCCAAAGAATGTGGTTCATTTATTCATGTCAACAGAAATCTAAGATAAAATTACAGTGCTAAATTATGCATACTTTAAATATAAATTGTGTGCTACTAAATGTGCACTAAAGGGAACAAGTACTTTTTGCACTGTGGGAATGGAAGTTGCACATCAATGTTTTTCCCTAAGTTTCAGACATGTTTTGTCTGACATGTCCACTGTAGCTTTGGCTTTTTAAAATAAATGAAATATTTGTCAGTTGATTTCTTAGTTGTATTAAGGTACATAATGCAAGTACTACTAGGACACAATTAATTACATCTCTACCTAATTATTCTTCACATTTTTTTCCTTTCAAGAATTTTATGTGCAGAGCTGTAATGGCACAGATGCTAATACATAACAAAGGACATTCATTACCTACACCCTTCCTAGCCACATTGCAAATATCTACTACACTACCTGTATGGTTTCATTCATTACCTGCACGCTTTATAGCCACATTGCAAATGTCTACTAAACTACCTGTATGGTAAAACCTGTATGGTTTTAGGTACCTATTGTAGCATTTGAACACCAGAGAGTAATTTAAACCTCTTGTTGCCTTGGGCTGTGGACCCTAGGTTCCTGTACAGACAAAGAAATAGTTGCAATACCTACTTTCCTCTGACCAGTTGCTCTCTTACACAGAGGAGCCAGAGTCATGCCATAAAATATACCAGGTGCTCCAGAGATGCTCTTGCTACAGTCACTTGTTAGAAATTGAATAGGAATTATTAATGTAGTGCATTTTCATGGAAATACGTCTTTTAGTTTTGGGTTAAAGAGCTCATTTTTTTTCCACTTGGTTTGGGTAAGATGCCAGGGGACAGATCCAAGCAAAAAATGAAAGGTATACTATAAACTGTTTTTTATTGCATTACAACATGCACTTTGGGCCACAAAACAGAAATTCAAAATAAGGTTGTATTTTTTTTTTTTTTAAGATAGCTCTAAAGAGAGATTAAAAGGACAAAGACCACATTCATTAACAAGCAGCATGGTGCAAAATGGGGATGAAATCTCTCCCACTGTAAAATGAAGAGCAGGTTCAAGACCACCTGATTAAACTGAATAGCCACAAGTCTATTAGGGCCTGATGAGATGCATCCCAGGGTCCTGAGGGAACTGATGTTGTTGCCAACCCATATGTGGAAAACCCTGGCAGTCAGGTGAAGTGCTCAGTGACTGGAAAAAGAGAAACATCGTTCCTATTTTTAAAAAGGGAAGAAAGGAAGACCCAGGGAAGGACATACCAGAGACCTCCCCCTTCTTGGGAAGACTGTGGAGCAGACACTCATGGAACAATGTTAAGCACATACAATACAAGGAGATGATCCAAGACAGCCAATATGGCAAATCATGCCTGACCCATCTGGTGGCCTTCCACAATGGAGTGACAGCAACAATTAACAAGCAAAGACTGACAGATGTCAACTACCTAGACTTCTGTAAGCTGGTCCCACATGACATCCTTATCTCCAAAATGATGACACAGATTTGATGGATGGAATATTCAGTGGATAAGGAATTGGCTGGGTGGATGCAGCCAGAGTTGTGGTAAGTACTTTTATGTCCAGGTGGACACTGGTGATGAGCTGTGTCCCTCAGGGGCCTGTCATGGTACCAGGGCTCTTTAATACCTTCCTTTATCAATGACACTGTCAGTGGGATTGAGTGCACCCCAGCAAGATTCCAGACCTGTGAAGCTGAGTGGTGCAGTTGGTTCAACAGAAAGAAGAGACCATATTCAGGTGGGCAAGCTTGAGAAGTGAGCCCATGGGAACCTCAAGTTCAACAAATCCAGGTGCAAAGTGCTGCACCTGGGTCAGGGCAATACCAGACATGAGTTCAGACTGGGAGAAGAACTTGTTGAGACCAACTGAGCTGAGAAGGACTTAAGAGGGTTCACTTGCAGCCCAGAAGGCAAATGGTATCCTGGCTTGTATCAAAAGAGGGGTGGCTAAGGTACGTGATTGTCCCCTTCTACTCTGCCCTTATGGGACCCGAAGTAGAGTGCTGTGTCCAGGTATGGAGTCCTTAGCATAAGAAAGATGTGGACTTGCTAGAGAGAGTCCAGAAGAGGCCACAAAAATGGTCAGAGGACTGAACCATCTCTCCTACAAAGGCTGAGAGAGCTCAGGTTGCTCAGCCTGGAGAAGAGAAGGTTCTGGCAAGAGCTCATTGAGGCCTTCCAGTACCTAAAGGGTAAAAAGAGCAATGTCTTACATGGGCATATTAGTGATAGGACAAGGGGGAAATGGTTATAAACTAAAAAATTAGATTTAGATTAGATCTTAGGAAGAAATTCTTTATTTTGAGAGTGGTGAGGCACTGGAATAGGTTGCCCAGAGATACTGCAGACACCCCATCCCTGAAAGTGTTAAAGGCCAGCCTAGATGGGGCACTGAGCAACATGGTCTAGTGGATGTCATCTTGCCCTTGACAGGGGATTTGATATTAGATGATCTTTAGGGTCTCTTCCAACCCAAACCATTTTATGCAAAGGGACATTTTCAGAGAGTGAAACAGCTGCTACCAACATCTGGGTAAGTACACTGTGTGTCTTACAGGACAAAGGTTATTTTGGACTAGCTCTAGTATTGCAGGAATAAGGAAGTACTGAACGGCTGCAGACATCAGTATTAATGAGACCTTAACTAAGACTAACCCACTCTTTTGCAACAGAAGTGTTCTGGAATAAGTATTAAAAAGTTATACAGCACAGAGATACTCAAAAGGCTGCAGAAGTTGGGCCAGGATTTCTTGAGGACTCCTGAATCATTATTTGTACAGGATCATGCAGAGACTCTTTCAGTCTTTTCATGGTCTCATGAAAAGTCTTATGACATATACTATGAAAATTTTCCCTTTCATGAAATATCAAAAATGTTTTATTTTCAATGTTTGGTTGACTCAGTGTTACTAGCTTTCCTTTCTTCTCCTCCTTTTTTTCCCTGCCCTCTCCATTTAAGAGAATCCAACCTTTCTCTGTGTAAATGGATGTATTTAGATATTTTAATCAGAATTAATTACATCTGGATTGCTATCAGTTTATCAAACTCTCAGGAATTTGCAAAAATTAGCTCATAATGAAATGTGAGGCCAACAAAACGAAATTCCAGAGGAATATGGACTGAACACTGGCTAAATTATGTCAAAATGTCAAGTTGTCAAAAATTTCAGAAACCATCACAGAGAACAATGAAAATTTTAACGTGCACCTGCTTTGCAAGCAAAGCGCACATTCCATGAGGTGAATACCAAGGTCAAAGTTTTCATCTGAGGTGATAAAATCTGGAATTTCCAGACTTGGAAACTACCTTCAGCCAAACAATTATGTGGGTGAGCGGATGCTTCAAAACAATTAGTATTGTCTGTGCGTGGTTATAGTGTGAAAACCAAAGACACACACTGAGCAGTCAGTTTTGATATATGCATATTATGCTTAGGTTTCATTACATCACTTACATCATGAGTTTAAATCATGTTGTGTTTGGGCAAAGCTCCTCTGTGTGTCCACAATTTAGGAGTAAAAGATACAGTTATTAAGGCACTCTTGCTGTTATTATTTGAATGATTGTAATTAACATGGAAAAGATCTTATCTCCCCATTCTTTTTGGCATCTGTAAAATCCTCCATACATGGAGTGGTCCATTACTATAAAAAAGAAATTAAAAAAAAAAAAAGCAAAACTCTCTTAAGAGCCTCACCGCTTCATGTTCCCTTCTGCCAGTGATCGTTTTCCTTAAACTCAGTATATTAAATGTTGTCCCAGCTTACACTTCTGTCCTGAGGAATGCTCCACTAAAAATAATTGTGTTTATAAACCTAGCGACAGATGTCGGGAATTTATCTCCTTACCATGGCAGGACACGCCTCCTCTATTCTCCAGATGAGGGATTAGCTGGGAAGAAGGAGGGACAGACATCGAGCTACAATGCTTTCTCACTATCTATCTCCCTTAAGTTTCGGCTGAAACAAAGGAGGAGGTGCAGGAAGGAAAGCAGCTGCCGTTTGAGGCTCGGAGTTACGGCGCCGTGGGAGAAGCGGGACACGACTCCCCGGCGGAACGACGCGCCCCGGGAAGGCGCCGGCCGCGTCCCGCCCGTTACCCGCCCCCGCCGCGCCCCGCCGGGCCCGGCCCCGCTCGCGCCGCGGACGGAAGCGGCCGCCCCCTTCCGGGAACCGGGTCCGGCCGCGCCGCCCCGCTCCTCCTTGGCCCGCCCCGCGCCTGCGCGCCTCGGCGCCTGACACCGCGCTCCGCCCGCGGGGCGGGGGCGGCGGGGCCGCACCCGGTGACGACGCTGCGGCCCCTGCGGCGGCGCTCCCCGCCCCGCCCCGCCCCGCCCCGGCCGCGCCCGCCCTCCGCCCCGGGCCGCGCGCGCCGCCGGCCGTGCGCGCGGGGGCGGCGCCAGGGCCTCACCTCGCGCGCTCCGCCCCTCCCCGCGCGCTCCTCGGGCGCCGCCGGCACCGCCGCCGCAGGTGAGACGGGGGCGCGCGGCCGGGCCGGGCCGCGCCGGGCGGAGCCGCCAGGGCTGGGGCCGGGGGGAGCCCGAGGACCCGGCTCCGCCCGCGCCTCGGGAGCTCTCCGGTGTGGGGGAAGCTGCCGTGCGGCGCGGGCGGGGGCTTCCGGCGGCTCCGCGCCCGCCGCTCTGCGCCGCCCGGGAATCGGTGTCGGGGTGCGGCCGCCGCCTCGCCGTCCCTGGCCGGCGGGGTACGCCTGCCGGCCCCACCCCGGCGTGTGGGGACGGGCGGGCGGCGCCCCGAGCCTCCTGCCGGGGGCCTGGTGACCGCTCCCTGAAGGTTACGGGCGGCGACCTTGGCCACCTGCGTTCGCGGCCCGCCCGGGCGCGGGAACAGCGGGCAGGGGGCGGCGGGGCCGCGCCCGGCTCCGGCCGCCTGTTGCGGCGGGGCCGGGGGCGGCGTCCCGGGGCCGCGGGCGGCGGCGGGCGCCGCCCGTACCTGCGCAGGGTGGGGCGCGGCGCGGCGGCGCCCCGAACAAAGGGCCGCGCCCGGGGCCGCGGGGAAGGGGGTCGGGGTGCTCGCCCACCGGCCCGGCGGGACCGAGCGGCGGCTGCGGCGGCGATTCCTGCTCCGGCCGGGTGCCGGAGACCCTGCGCGTGTATGTGGGCGCTGCGGTTCTAGGGTGAGTGAGAACAGGGCTCCTGTAACACTTTCATGTGCTGGGCTTTTCTGTAGTTACTGGTAATAACTAGATCTTGTGTTTGCTTGTAACACAAGGGAGAAGTGCGAAGTATACTTTTAAGTTCCCCAAATGAAAGAGCCTTTCGATGCTCACCTATTTGGTTAGGTAAGAGATTTGGTGTTTGCTTTTAGGTTTCTTTTAAGGGGAAGTCAATAGCTTCGGCTCCTTCTTAATTGAGTCTTTAAAATGAAAATGTTAAGTGGGCCATACGTATCCCAAGAGCCACCTGAGGAGCGATCTGTGTGTTTGTTTTGCAGCATCCCCAAACCGTCCTGGCAGAAAGCTTGTCAAAATGGTTTTTTTTTCAGACTCAGAAGGACCCTGATGTTTTGTTTTGTGCTTTCATTTCCAGCTCTTATTTGAAAGAGACTTGCATTCTGCACTGCAAAACATTATACGTCCGGAAGTGTAAGCAGTATGTGCCTCTGCTGGCATTTCAGTTCACATACAGTTTTATGTTCAGATCTCTCCATAACCTATCGGTTGTTCTTTGTCCTTTCCACTGAAAGTTAAACTGAAAAGAAAGGCAAGCCTGAGAGAGGGGCTGCACTAGGAGAAGATCCTGCTCTTCTGTTAGTTTTCAGGGTAATTAGTAGTGATTATAACTGGATTTTTAATTTTAAATCCACTTCTTTTTGGCTGACTTGTTAATCTAATAGCATGTACCTCAACATTTAAGTCCTGGGAAACTGTGAGCATTCTTAATAGAGTGAAGAACAACTGTTTGATATGTCGATCTCTGGTGTAAATATAAATCCTTCAGTCTGTGCTTGCATTACAGTTTGTCAAACATTTTTTGTGGAAGCCTCCAAATGGTGGAAATTTGAGAAGTCCTGTTTACTCTTTATTCTTTTCTGTAGAAATAGGAGAACGTGACATAATGTTGCACAAAAATATCAAAAAAAGCTTTCAGTCCACTGCATGAGAGGTTAACTATGAGGTTAAATAAGCTGTGTTGCTGGATAGTGAGTGTACTACTCAACTATTGCAAATTCCTTGATCTTGGTCTTTGCTTTTTAGTGCTCTTTTGAATTTGAGTAAGGGAAAGATTACAAACATCCTAAGGTGAAGTATTTTGAGTTGTGTGTTCTTTGACATTGTTGTGATAATGCTGTGGGGTTTTTTTTTCTTTTTTTTTTTTTTTTTTTTTTTTTGGGGATTTTTTTTTTTTTTTTTTTTTTTTTTTTGGTCCTTAAGGAATCTTTAGCCATGAAAGTGAAAACTGGAATGTTTCCTAGCTGTGCATTCTTTGTAATGTCTGTCACCTGTGGTCACGTACTCTTTAGATAAATAGCCCATAGAAACAGTAGGCTATTGAGGGGAAAGGGATGGGCGTGGGGAGGTGGGGTAAGGAGAGTTGTGGCTGTGAGGATAAGGCAGTGCTGGATAAAGGTGACCAAGGAAGAGCACAAGACTGTTAAATAAGTGTGGCTGGAGATCTTGCAGTGGTCCATGTGTCTTCTGTGTTCAGACTGACTTCTAGTTCTCATAAAAACAGTTGTGTTCTTAACCTCAGTTACTAAGGCATGCACTGACATCCCTGTTTCTACTTTTTCTGAGGGATTACCCCGAAACAAAGATGTTCCATCTAAGAAGTGGTTTTGCTCCTGTTAACTTTCAAGTGTATCTGACTTGGATGAAGATAATTGCCAAGGCAAAAAAATGCAGATAACTTAGAAACTGATATATGGCAGTCTCTGATACCAAAGGATACTGTAGGTACAGTGTCTTGTGTGAAAAGTTGTTTAGGCACTGCATTTCAGCCAACTGAAAACAGCATTATTTTTGCTGCAGTTTTATATATGAAGAAGAAATAATTATATGAGAAAAATCTTTTAACTTTGTGATAAGATTTGGTTGCTTTGCCATCCTAGGGAGTACTGTAGGATATAGAGGTCCTGGGAATCAGTGGCTGATAACATGTCTTCTAGACCGGGAACTCCCCACCCCCTTGAAAGTGCTTATAGCCAGCTTCCAGTAAACTTCTAATGGCTCCAAGCTACAGAAATTACTTTGCGTCTAAATTGAAATCTGTTTTATGTGAACAAGGTAATTTAGTAGGCTAGTGACAGCATTCTTGTGAACATACTGTAGCCTGCCTGCCTCAAACGCACAATTACAGGACAACTGTGTTAAGCCTCCTTTTTACCTTAGGAAGAATTTATGTGAGGAACCAAGTAAATAGAGCAGTTGGTATTATGTTTGTCCACTAAATGTTCTGCAAAATATTTATATTGCTAAGTAGGGAAGAAATTGTTACATTTTATTAGTCTGTTGCAGTACTTAAAATCAGCTCTCAGGATAGTTTATAAAAAGTTATTTTTAAGGAGTACTGTCTGCAGAACCTGAAATTGGTTATAGTCATTGTGGGTATAAATAACTTAGAATCACTTTATAGCAAATGTACCTTGCAGACCAGGGGATTATTAAATCCTGTTTTGCTACTCGTCCTGTTTTCTTAACTATTGTCAGAGTCGTCACCTAAAGCCTGAGGATTTATCAGTGGTTACAGCTGCTTGTTGAATCTCTTTGGTAGTTGTGCAAACCATAACCATCAGGTGAGGCTTATCGGCTGGAGCCTTAGAGACTCTATAGCAGAAAAAAATTCTGAAGTTCCCATAGAAAAAGCCAGTATTAGATTGAAAGGTAGGAGCAAGTTGGAAAGAAATTTAATATGGATTAAATAATGCTGCCTTAGAACGAACCAGTGAGAGAATTCATTGCCTTTGGCCAGAGGGAGGCTTAGTATTTACTAGTCATATTTTGTTTGGGATTCATTTTGTCTTAATCAAAATTCTCAACACCTTTGGGACAATAGATTGGCAACACTGAAGTGTCCAGGCTTTGCACAGAGGGGTAATAACAGAGAAAGGTGTGTTGAGGGTGTTAGATGACATAGGCAGTTACTACAGAGAATTCAAAGCGAGCTATGCTGTAATCAGTTTGTAACGGAGAGGAGCCAAGAATGTAAAGAAGGTAGAACAAACAAGAGATGTAGATTTGGTTGCATAGTAACTCTGCAATTGTTACTTTAGTGGAATTGATGCTTATTTTGTGATGTTGGCTCCTTAGTTGAAGTAATTATAATGTACATTGAATTCCAGCAGTAAAGTTCATGCATTGTGTGTATGTATAATGCATTGTATTTTTCTCTATAATAGTATGTTTACAACATTTGATGCAGGAGTGTGGAAATGTCTGGTGCAGTGTCCCACAACATTTAATTAAAAATTGGCATGTAAATATACTGTACCAGCAAACAAGTATTTCTGCAAATTATGGAAACTGCTATTTATGAAGGTGCTTTGTATCTATGCTTAGTAGGTAAGCAGCAGGGATCAGCCATGCATTCAGGCCTTGGTACCTGTTTCATTTTATGGTCTTAAATACTAATTTAATAGCCTTTTGTACTGCTGTAAGACTTGATCTTTAACTCTGATCCTTGTTTCTGAGAGTCTGAGAATGCTCTACGTATAGCACCCACATACAGGCAGGCAGAAATGTTTTTGTCAACATGAAATAGATTGCAGTAAACATGGAAGTCTTGCAAAAATGAAACATCTGTGAAAAAAGTAAAAAGCTGACTATGTGTGGTACCATCCTTCCCTTTGCTAGTGTTCCCATTCAAGCCCATCAGGTCTCAAGGAGGTCTGTCATTTCAAGATGTAGCAGTGTAGTCCTGTTGGTATAGCTAAGTCTCCTGAGAAGGCTTTTAACATAGAAGTGGTTAATACCAGCAACACTTTGCCCTGTGGGATTTATTTCAGACCTCAAAATAGAAGAAATTATACAGGCAGGAAAACAGTGTTAACAGATGTGACAAACATCTGCAGGCATGCTATGTCAGTCACATAACCCACGTTTGATGGGTGAGGTTATGCAACGGGAGATGTTTGAGTAGATGGACCTGAAGGCCCTACTCAAAGCAAGGCTGGAAGCAGCTCATCATTAACCATCTGTCACTGTTACCCTTGGAGATCAAAGTAAGCAAAATCAGTGAATCTAATCACTGAATCCAGGTGACTGTCATGTGAAAGAGCTATTTGGGATGACACCTCTTTTACCTGTGTAGTGTAACATGTACATAAGCTTCATTCCAATCCTCAGAACACTTGTATTTTAAAAAATAACACTGCACACTCGTAAGAATCGATTTTTGTAAGGTCAGAATTTATGTTGTCCAAATTACGAGTTCATTGCAATGCTTCAATGACTGGTCCAGTAGAGAGTTGTGACTGGTATCTCAGTGCACTTTATCACAACTTTAATTCTCTGA